GTATCTAGTGTTCATCTTTCACATGCTTTGCATTTAACTTTTGGTTCTATTTCATATGATTGCAATGTTTAAACAATTTATTTATATATAAATTAAATAACTGGAACCAAAAAGGCTAAATTGAGCTTACGCTTCACCAAAAATATAGGACTCATTTCTTATGTTTCAAAAATATAAGACTTTTGAAGCATATCTTCAACCATACTTTCATTTCCCCTTCTTGTGAGTCGTATCTTCATTTCCCCTTCTTGTATATCAATTTTTTCTTTCACCTTTGCATAGCTCCTTGAAGTACCAAAAAGGAAAGCTCACGGTCAACATTTAAGCCTCTTTCTTACCTTGAAGTCAACTTTCCTCTTTACTGAGAGAACATCACCTCATCGCCCACGTCATTGTAAAAATGGAAATCCTTTTGCTTCTTTTAAATGTGTAGACACTTTTAAAGACCAAATTGCCATTGAATAAACAAAAAAATTACAAAGACAAATACATATTGCTTGCCTTTAAGACTAAATTACCCCAAACCAACAACAAAATTAAAAAAAGAAAAAAGAAAAAAGAAAAAAAAAAGGAACACTTCCATATTGCTTGAAGGGCAAAATAGTTGATAAGCTAACTTTATATGGATATTTCTGCCTTAACATTCTTGATATTTGAATGAGTTTTATGATATTTTATTTAATTTTACATAATTTTTATTCTTTGAATAGAAAGCATTTAATTGGAAGAAATTATAATTTTTAGGAACAAACTACAAAGATAAGAAACAAGAGGATTAACTTGCACAGATCCAAATACCCAACAGAGTTTTCATTCAACGTTTTACTAAAGGTGTCGGCACCTTGTTAAGGGTGTTGATCTCCTATACGATTTTTAGCAAGTACATGCCAATCTTCTTATTATTTTGGTGTGAGTCCCACGTCTATTCCAATTAAGTTTTTTAAAATTCTATAAATACTCATCCAAGTTCAGAATTGGGAAGGCTTCATAGGCTTGTGGTAGCCCTCTTTGGGCATTCATGAAGATTAAATAAAGAATTTATCAACAATAAAAAATCAAGAATTTCGATTTCTTCAAATTGAGTTTTTTTTTTCTTTAAATTATTTTTTTATTTCTTTTTTTATACTTTTATATTCATAACTATGATTTTAAGTTTTAATTTTTTTTATGTACTAATTTAGTAAACTAAGACTATGATGTAACCTAATCAATTTAATATAGGTTTTTATGATTTTTATATTTTTGAAATTACTATTTCATGATGAGTATATATTATTATTCTTAATGATTTTTAATACTTGATCACTATTAAAATTGATAGGAAGAGCATAATTAAAACCAAGATTTTATACAATAATTTCTAATAATATATACTATGAATTAAACGAAAGTTAAAAATGAATCAACGTGATTTGTGCAGCATTAGCAATAGGTGAATTTAATTTTTTATGTAAACTAGGGAATTTTACATAATATAACACAATTTTATCTATTTAAATTCATATAGAAATATAGTGAGTTAATAAGTGAAGTTAGGTTTGGTATAACTTGAGAAAGTAGATCAAATAGAATAGAAAATTCCACTATTACATGTATAGTAAACATCTTGAAAGCATAATAATTTAAAATTTATATTGATTGGTTATAGTGAAGTCAATGCCTCAATACCTTAGATCTTTGTTAGTTTTATTTTAATTGTTATTTCCTTTTTATTATTTTTAATTAAAGCTTCTTCATTTTTGAATATTCAAATAAATTTAGATTAATTATTTTTTATACTTAGTTAATTACAATTCTCGTAGATTTAACACTCTTCTTATCATTAAATTACTTGAAGCAATTAGTGTACTTGTTAGAGTGATTTTAACACATCAATGGTAAACAAAATGAGTTAAATGAAGTGAGAGAAAGGAAGAAGGGAGTGATGAGAGAGATAGGAAGGCACCAAGACTCAAGTTTCTTATATTAGATTACTAGCATTTCCCAACCCACTTTGTAGGTTCGTTGAGATGTATTTTCACTTTTTAAGAAAATTATAATTAAAAATTTATTATTGTTAAAAAGATAAAAGAGTATGTTGTTTTGTGATCTGAGTTGTATGTACTACAAAACATGGACTCTTAAATCCAGAAAAACCTTTATTGAAAAGTTTATGTTTACAATCCAATACAATCAAATTCAAAAACACTTTTTTGATAAAAAAAAAAAAACACAAAAACAATATTTTGCTTCTAATAAGTTATATTAAATAATGATAACATTATTAAGTAGTTTATCAGTCGTCTTTTTTATTCTAAATAAATTATCTAGTTTTTCCAAACTTGTAACAAAATTAGAAGCAAAAAAGAGAGAAAATGAAACCTTGCAGTCTTACACAATATTAAAGGAGGTTATATAGAATTCTAAATCTTATGGTTAAAATCATGTTTTTGCTGGCGACTAAGTGAAAATTGATGGTATTATTAGATTGCCCAAACCAACATAAATGTGAATACATCTACATAAAATTCAATTTCAAAAATAATGTGTATTATTATAACTGACTCTAGACAATCACTTTCCTAAATTTAAAGGTAAAAATAAAACAAACAAAATAATTTTAAAAAATGACAGAAGATCAAATCTCAGAATGATGAAGTGTTTGGGAGGCATCAATGATGAGGTTAATGGCTGGAAATGGAACGGATATGGTGAATGGAGGTTTCGCATAGGGAGAGAATAAAAAGATAATTACAAAATCTACCTACTAAATGCCCTCCAAATTAAAGGAAATTACAAGCCTGGAAAGCCATGCCAACTAAAATACCCTCCAAACTAAAAAAAATTTACAACCCTCTCATAAAGAACTCTATCTTTTCACATAGTCATTCCAACCAAAATGTCCTTTAAACTAAAAGAAATAACAACCATCTTACAAGCAAATACCAATTTATGAAATTTTAGAGAGAGATAAAAACAAAATCAAATAGAGAGAGAAAAGAGGGTGTAGATGGTATATTATCCTCTTTATTCTTCTTAAGATTTAGAAAGAAATAAAAACAAAATCAAATTAACAGAGAAAAGAAGGTGTGGACAGCACACTATCCTCTTTATTATTCTTTAAGATTTAGATTACTCAACTACCGAACTTTTGTTTCTTATATTTAGACTGGTTCGAATTACTTGTCTTTTGTATACAATTTAGATCCACCATTTTGAAGATATATATATATATATATATATTGATCAGCCCACGTTTTTCAAGGTGTAAGTATCTTGGCATGATTCATGTGAAGAATAAACAAATCAAATTTAAAGATAATTTTCAAAATATATTACCGTATTAGATCCTATAAACCGTTGAACAAATCTGTTGACATTTTGTATGGTACTACCGTACTAGCATTTTCAATCCGCTTTGCACATTGTCGGGAATTTTTTTGTAGTTTAAAAGAAAAAATATATATTGTTATAAATAGATAGTAAAGTAAAATATATAAACAAGTGACCTTGATTTTTCACGTTATTTAGTAATATCAATTTATTAATGTGATACTTTTTATACTAATTAAAACTTATTCTATTGCGATTATCTCTTTATTTCTCTAGTTATTAAAAATAATTACAACATCTACCAACCAAAATATCCACCAAACTAAAAACAATTACAACCATTTCACAAAGAAAGGTTATTCATGTGTCTCCATTTATGGCGCTCTCACAAAACTATGTGAGTCAAAATATCCTCCAAACTAAAAATGAAAATTACAACTCTCTCACAAAAAAAATGTCTTTCCTATATCTCCCTTTATATATATATATATATATTGAACGAAACTGAAAATCTCCCTGTATATTTTTTAGATTGCCCCCAAACCAATCAAGAAATCAAGTCACTATTAAAGCCTTTCTTATATTCTTTTTAAAAGTATAGGTAAAGAACAATGATAGATTTAAGAGAGATAAAGAAAGAAAAAAAGAAAGTAGAGAGATAAAGAAAGAAGCACTTGTTAAACCTATTTTAAGGACAGAAAGGAAGAGATAGAGGGAGATAGAAAAAGTGAATATTGACCCTACTCACTTTCTAGGCTTATTCTACTTTAGATATTTTATATATAAATTTATAAAGTTAAAAATAATAAATTATTTTTTTTAATAAATGACATGATAAATTGCTTAGAATGTAGTATTGAAGTTTCAATTAGGTTTTAAAAATTGCAATCAAACTCTATTTTCTATTTAACAAAAAAACTTATTCAGGATAACATGTGATTTTTGTTGTAAAAAATATAAGAAAAAAAAAAGTTGTTATATAGAATACTCTCTTACACTTAAATACAGACGGGAAATTTAGCTAGATCAACGGAAGGTTAATTTGTGAGACAAAAGTAGACGGGGTAAAAAAGGAATTTTGATGGTGAAGCCAGAAAGATATGCTAGGTGAAAAAATAAAATGAGTAAAAAGGGGTGTCAGTTAAAAGAGAAAATAAGGGGTGTATGAGACATTTAATTTTGATGAATTATTAAAAAACAAAAATGGACTCCACAACCTTTTGATGTTGAAATGTCTTGGGAGACTAGAAGTAGGGGTAAGGAAGGTAGTGAACCTTAAGAGTACCGAAAACTTGTGATTTGTGAGAAATAGTCGAATAAGAGAAAGACAAGAAGAAAAGTGAGTGATGAGAGAGATAGAAAGCAGTGGAGATTCAACTTTCTTATATTCAGGTTAGAAGAGTTTCCTTCAACAACTCCAAGTCTCATCTTTGCAGAACAGAAGCTAAAAGAAGCCTTTTTCTTTTTTCTTTTTTTTGGTTAAACAATGGTTGCAACTTTATTTCACAAAGCTTCATCAATATTACTTTCGACGACAACTCTTGTTCCCGTTTCCATGTCTAACCAAAAGAAGCGGCCTATACATGAGAAATCCATAGAAGCCAATGCATTTGATATTGAGGGAAAGAAGAAGCTGAGGATTTTGGTTGCTGGGGGTGGGATTGGGGGGCTGGTTTTTGCGCTGGCAGCAAAGAGGAAGGGGTTTGATGTGGTAGTGTTGGAGAAGGGAATGAGTGCAATAAGAGGTGAGGGGCAGTTCAGGGGTCCAATTCAGTTACAGAGCAATGCATTGGCTGCTTTGGAGGTCATTGATTTGGAGGTTGCTGAGAAAGTCATGCAAGCAGGGTGCGTCGTTGGTAATAGAATTAACGGTTTGCTGGATGGTATCTCTGGTTCTTGGTGAGTCTTTATGGATTCTTTGTTCAAACTAGCTTGTTAAATTATGTTTGGGTTTTTAAAAATTGAAAAAACATGGTAAAATTGATTCCGAGATAACACATTTTGCTGTACTATGTTCCTATGGGCATTATGTTTTTCTCTGATATAAAGTGCCACAATGAATTGTAAATAAGTTAACTCCATGGCCTGTTCATTGGTAAAATAAGTATCATTTTATAAATTAGGTTTAAAATTTAAATTTTGAGATTAATATTTAAAAAAATTAATTTTTTTAAATGTATCAAGTTGATATATGTCTTTAAAATTGTTAAAATAAAAATTAATTTTAAAATATATAAAAACCAACATAAGAATACTTTTTGCTAATTAAATACCAAAAAATAAATTGTAAATTAAGTTGACATATCACACAAAAATGTTTGCAGTGGCGGAGTTAAGGCTCGTAGAGGCGCACAGGCCTCTAAACTTTCGAAAAGTTAATAATGTAGGAACTTATTTATACATAATTTTCATTCATTATATTTATATAAAATGTTAATTATTTATCTTTTTATTTTTAATGGTGAAGATTTGTTATAACATTTTAAATAAAAAAGATAATTTTTTTAATAAATATAATAAAAAATAAATAGATTTGTACTTTATTTTTTTGGTTAAATTTATTTTGATCCTCCACTATTTTTTTATTTTCTATCCTTAACTTTTATTGTTATACATTTTTCTTAAATCTTTTATTGCATATCATTCATTTTCTTATCTCTTTATTCATTAGATATTACTTTTATAATATTGAGAAAGGAGAGAAATATGAAAAATGAAAAAATAAAGATTAATTTAATATCAATCTATAATGGCGAGGTCTAGGTTTAGAGCGCGCGACGACGAGACGTGGGACAGCGGCAACTCCATACGACAGCAAAGGCAGCAACAGAGGACTGGGGAGTTTGGGAATTGGAATCAGGGACAGTCGTTCTTCTTTTATAATTTCCCAGACAATTGGGACGCAAAGGCTTTGTGGCATCGATTTCAAGAGTGTGGAAGGGTCGGTGATGTGTTTGTGCCAGCAAAGAGGGACAAATGGGGGAAAAGGTTCGGTTTCGTCAGAATGTTAGGGGTGCAAGATGTTCAATATATGGAAGGGAGATTGAATCAGATCTGGATTGGTTCTTATAAACTACGAGTAAAGGTAGCCATCGATAGGGGGCAAAATGGAACAGTTTATCAGAAGGAAGCCGAGAGGAAGGGTAGAATCAGGGCGCAGAGTTTCGTCAAGCCAGGGCGGTCATATGTTCAGGCGGTTAAGGGATACTCTTCGAGGGCAGTGGGTGCCCAGGTTTGGAGGAAAACTACAGGGGTGCAGGAGAGAGCCGATCCCGTGGACAGGGTGTCCATCGCTCTAGGGAAGCCTTTGGGGATTGAGGATGCTAGATCCGGTGAAGAGGGAGGTGGAGCTATGGATGGAGAAACGAAGGAGAGTATCATTGACTTCTCTCTATCCAAAGATGAGAACGTGTGGCTGGAAGGGGGTGTTGTAGCGGTAGTGAGATCAATGTCAATGATATCCAATATACAAGAGAGAGTAGACATTGATGGAGGTTTGATTAATCTATCTCCATTAGGAGGGCGGAATGTATTGTTGACTGAACGTGTGGAAGGCTACTTGAGTGAGTATATACAGCACAACAAGGAATCATTTGATCTTTGGTGTGAGATTATTTATCCTTGGGCTTTGGCTCCTCTGAATGGTAGTAGAATGGTCTGGTTGAGAATTTCTGGTGTTCCATTACAAGCATGGTGTGACAGATGCTTTGAGCGGATAGCAGCTTCGGTGGGGGAAGTGATAATGATCCATGCA